ATATTAAAATGTCACCTGGTTTGACTTCTGGCATGATCAGGGCCTCAGGCTTGGACTAGGGAGAGGTGTCCTCGTGATGCTGGGAAAGACCCTAGCATCTACTCGGGAGCCTCAGGGGAAAACCCGGGACCCTGAGCTCCAGCGCCCCTTCAAGGGAGCCTCTCCTGGCCGTGTTCAAGAGCCTGGCTGCCGCTGCCCAGCCCCACCGCTTCTCTGCCACTGCTCCAGGTTTTTCACTGCGCTGTAACCCCACATCCCCTGCCTGCCGGGACACCCACGGCTCCTGCTACAGCTGCCGAGTTTCTCATACATTTAATTTGCTGCTTTGGGGTCTGCTCGTCGCTGCCGTTCCAGCTGTGGCTCCGAGGTTGCTGCTACAGCCCATCTCGCCATGCAGAGGGGCACCGGGACCGGCTGCCCCCGTGGGTTTGCAAAGGCAGCGCCTTTTCCATCCCGCCCGCCATTACCGCGTGCAGAAAGGCGGCTGAGCTCGCGCCACAGCGCCCCCTGCAGCCGCGGGGGAATCATCGCACCCGCCCTGCCCGGCCGGGAGCCACCAGCGCCCCTGCCGGCCGTGCCCGGAACTGCACCCAAGGGGAAAGTGCCTGCGGCCGAGAGAGGGCTGGCACTGGGTTCCTGTTCTGTTTGTTTGCCTCGTTATAAATGTACATACTAGCAAAGAACTGCTGCTCCTTTTCCCATCTTTGCCTAGAACACCCTTAATTTCAAAGTCAATAATTTTGAGGGAAGGGGGTCACATTTTCCATTCCAAGGGAGGTTCCCACCTTCCTTGGCAGATACCTGGCCTTCAAACCAGGACATCTATCAGTGAAGTCTGAATCAGTCCAGTTCACAGTGCCAGGAAAAATACATTCTTGTGGTAATTCTGGTATCCCTGACGACAGAAAGTATTGGAAGATTTTAGAGACTTTGCTGTTATAAAATATCCACACCAGTTTTGTGTAACTGAGAAGCAACTTGGAAAGTTCAGATAAGAAGACAGATGTTGGCCCAAATTAGTGAGATTTGCTTGCATGAATCAAATTTGGCATTACAGCATGCTTCCCAAATTAATTGTGTTGTGTATAATTCCAGTGTGAGTTGATTTTCCATTTTATTCTGCATGACTTCTGTTCATTTATCATTATTAAGCTATTTCCTGGAGATACTCCAGCTTAAGTGTGTGCTTGTATGACCACCAGAATTGTCTGCAGTGGCATAGAGAGAAAATACTAATCCAGGTTAAATGGTAAATTTTCCCCATGTACTAAGTATACTGTGTTTTAGTCACCATTTCTCAGTTTACCTGAATATTTGATTTGAAGAATTATCCCAGCCATGAATAAGATATAAGGTTTATGCTTAGCTTATTGTACTCATGTACAGTAAATTCTTTCTTTTGCTGTTTTTAACATTGGTGATACACTCCTGTCATCATCTCTTTTAATTTTTTTTTCTGGGAAAAGAGTATGCAAAAGAATATTTGTTATCTGATTTTAATTCAATTAACTTAGTTTCTCTTTCATGGAGTTTTTAACAATGTTTAATGAGAGATTGTAGTGGTTTTGGTTCACCTATTTGAGTTTCTTGGGAAATGCATCAATTTAATGTAGTGGGTATAATGCTGTCCAAATGCCTATGCACTCACCAGAATTATTTACTCATTTTCTGCTGCAAGATAGGATTAGGAGGAGAGCAAAGCAGGCTCAAATTTTAAAGGGTATATAGAAAACTTTATTAACAAAATTTAAAGAAAAAGCCAAAGAAATGAAATCATAATAAACCTTCAGAACACCTCTCATCCCCAACCTCCTTTTTCCTTTCTCACTGACAACGTAAAGAGACAAAACCTGTGAATTTCAGTTTACCACCTCTAAAACAATCTTTCTTCAATTCACTTAAGGAGAAAATCTCTCTTGTCGTGCTATGAAGACTTCTCCACAAGAAACAGTTCATTCATGGCTTCAGTGTCACAGCAAATCAGCCACCTGGGAGATGGAAATCTGTTTGCCATGTGAAAGTCCCTGCCCTTGACTTGCATCTTTCCCCACAACTGTTTTCGAGGGCTCATTCTTTGGCTAATGGGGTATGCTTTTAATGATGAGCTATTCAGAAGCAAGGGTCCTCTTCATCTATCTCTGAGATCATCTTCATCTCTGGGAACTTCTTCTTCTTCCTGGGGGCAAACAGTTTTCATTACTCTTGTCTTTGTTCAAGCTTCTCATTCGATCACAACTACTTGAACATTGCTTGCTTCAGCATGGGTGCCTTTGCTCATGTCCACAGTTTGAACGCTCCATCCCCCCATACTTTTCATGAATTACAGAGATATTTCACTGTCTCATAGTCCATCACCATGGCCTTACAAAAGAATTTCAGCCTAAGACTAAGGTATCTCTTCATTCTTCTCCCTTCTGGGATTTGACTCCTTACTCACTGACCTTGGTGTCTCCATCTCGTTTTCTTAAGTTGTCATTTCCTTTTGATGTCTGTAAGTTTCATCTGTTCTGGGGAGTTTTACAGCACTGAAAGAGTTAATCTTGCCTGGGCCTTGCATCAGAAATTTACCTCTCATTGTTGGTCCTGTGATCTCTGCTAGGCAGTGGCCAGAGCTGTTTATGGTGGAGGATTTTTCAGCGGCAGCACTGGTTGGGGTTGCAGCCAGGCTAGACCTCAGTGGCAGCATGCCATGGGCCAATGTCTTCCCCTACCCTTGTTCAGTGATTGCTGGTGAAACTCAGTGGCGGCAGGAAACAGCCAGGCAGAATCTCAGCAACACGTGCCATGGCCCAGCCCGGCCTGGAGCTGTTCCTGGGGCCTGGTGGACCGTGACTCAGCCCGGGCCAGCGGCGAGGCAGGGCTTCGTGTCAGCAAGATGATGGCAGCTGCAGCCTGGCCCAGCGTCGGCCAGGGCCCTGCGGCCTCCCCTCCCCAGCCACAACACCGGGGGTAGGGGGGAGACTTTTCTCTTCAAAAGCCAGAACTAAGAGAGAGCTTCCTAGGACTTGTTCATTCTCACGTGTCTTCACAGAGAAGAGTCTAGCTTTCTTAAGTGGAACTAGCGGCTAATTGGTTTTGTTGGATCTGGAGGAAGCTGTTAGCAGTCCTCACAGAGAATCACTTCCGTTACTGATGGATTTCCTCTTTAACTAAAACCCAAGATACAATAAACCATGACAGAGATGTAATTGAATTGCAGAGCTATTACTTCCCTTGGAATGTATTGAGATTTTTCCTGAATTTTGGTGAAGGTTTCTTGATCATTCACACTTTGAAACCGGCCTTTGTAATCATTTTGTAGCATATGGGAAGTCCCATTGACACGCAGAATAAAGGCTCCACAACCAGCAAGGCTATAAAGCAGGTATGTTTTCAGTGCTGGATGCGTGGGGATTGCTCCATCACAAATGTGTGTGCCAAATAGAGCAAACGCTCTGTTTATGTACAGTTAAGCTCATACACATTTATGAAAGTTTCAACATCACCTATACATATTCATAAACAATGCCCACCTACTTCCCCTTTGTACGTTAATCAGCTCATCATTGATCTGCACTTGTGCACTGTCTCCTGGTGGTCTTGGGCAGGGGTCGCTGGATGAAGTAAGTAGTCATCCTCACAATGTCCTCTGGATGAACCTGGTTCCTGCACAGGCTCTCTTGGTATCCAACCCTCCTTTAAGGCTTCTGGCCACAGTCTAAACTAAAGATCTAGTTTTTGGTAGTTTTTAGAGCACTAGTTCCTGCTTTATCAGTCTTAAACAGTAGGCCAGATCCTGTTGTTGCATAGCAAAAGATTATCTGTTCTTAACACACTTGATTACACAGCAAACTAGAGTTACGTAGGCATAGTTCCCTATGTCAGCCCACCCTTTTCTATACCATAGGCAATTTTTTTTGCCTTCTAGGCAATACTGCTATTACTTCTTATTGTATTTTAACGTGCTCTAAGCATAGTGGTCATTACATTTATATATTTCATTACTCTAAAAATCTAAATAAGCCTAAACAATAATAGAATGAAACTTATGCAAAGTAAAATCAAAAGCACTATTTTTGAGATAAAATGTCTTCTATGCCAGAAGACATAATTGGTGGAACTCTAAAGCATGGTATTATCTATATCTACATGGTATTATTATTCTGGTGACTTCTTGAGCTTTGGCTGTTCTGGTAGGGAATGCTTCTGGCTAACTTGAAAAGGTATTAGTTAGTACCAGTAAATATCTTAACCCCCTTTTCTTGGGAGTTCTGAAAAATCAATTTCCCTAGGTCCCTAGGCTAATTGCATTTCTTAATTTGGCTCATTTTTGGTTTGAGGGTATTCTTGGGATTGGTCTGGAGGCAAAGATCACATTGCTGAGTCACCTGTTTTACAGTGGTGTGTAACTTTTTAGCTACAACTTTTTAGTTTAGGTGCTTGTATAGGGCTTCTGCCCTCTAGTGCCTTTTTTTTAATGTTCTTCCCTAACTAAGGGCCATATTAAATGGGAGGGAATGATCAATTCCCCTTGTGGGGTGAGAGCTCACTCTTTCATTATATGACTTGTCTAGGTCTTCAATGAGGCTTTGCTCTTTTTTGGTATAGTTTGGATCATTTTCTAGGGAGATTTGACCATCAGGGATCAAAGCTTCTGTTTTTACCTCTCCTTTGGCTGTTTGTTTTGCCTCTCTGTCCGCTAGCTTATTTACATTTTCTAATCCTCGGCTTACTTTTTGGTGTGCCTTGATGTGCATGATTGTCACTTTCTCAGGGAGTTGGACTGCCTCCAACAGTTTTAGGATATCTTCTGCATATTTGATGTCTTTGCCCTGTGACTTTATTAATCTTTCTTTCTAGATTGCTCTCTGCCCATGTATGACTCTAAAGGCATATTTTGAGTCAGTATTCACAGTTTTGCCTTGGGCTAGTTTTAAAGCACGGGTTAGAGCATTTATCTCTGCCTTCTGTGCAGAGGTGTTGATGGGAAAAGGCCTTGAGTGGTGGTAATGACATATCTAGTGTTTCTTTTACTCCTTAGGACATAACTGCTTCTATCTGTGAGCTATTGGACTATCTTTCAGGTCTGGATGGTTTGCATATGTTGCTTTGATGGTTTCTAGACAGTCATGATGCACTGGTTCTCCTGTATTTCCACCAAGGAGAGAGGCTGGATTGGCAATATTATTTACTACAATTTTCGCATTGTCTTGCTCTACTGTTGTAGCTTGGTATTTTAAAAGTATTTGTGGGGAAAGCTAATGCCCACCTTTCATCTCTAGTACTGCAGACACTGTATGGGATGCTAACACAGTCATTTTCTGGCCAAGGGTAAATTTTTGGGCATCCTGGATGTTTAGTACTATGGTTGTGACTGCTTGCAAACATCCCGGCCAACTTTTTGCTGTTGCATTTAGTTGTTAGATAAAGCAAGCTACTGCTCAGCGATATGGGCCTAGAAACTGTGCTCTTATTCTTAGGGCAATCCCCTGCTTGTCATAAGAAAAGAGAAAGAATGGTTTACTCACATTTAGGAGTCTCAAGGCTGGAGCTGACATCAGAGTCTTTTTCAGTGACTAAAAGGTTTGTATAGCTCCTCTATTCTATTGAAGGTGTTTTTGTTCAGTGGCTGTCAGTGCATATAGGGGTTTAACTAGCAGTCTATAGTTGTAGATCTATAGCCAGCACCACCTAGTCATTCTCAAAAAGGTTTGTTATTCTTTCACAGTTTGTGGCTTTGGGGTTTGTCTCGAAGTTTTTTGTCTAGCAGTGATCTCATATCCTAGATAAATTATCTCTTGCTACATTACTTGGGCCTTCTTAGATGCCCGATATCCCTGGAGCCCCCCAAAATTTAGCAGACTTATTGTCTAGGTCAGGCAAGTGTCCTTTGTCTTGGTGGCGGTCAGGATGTCATCTACATACTGTAACAGCTTCTCTTCTTTAGATGAGGCCTCCCAGGACTCAAGATTTTTTGCTACCTGATTGCCAAATATAGTGGGGCTGTTCTTATATTCTTGAGGTTATATTCTTCCATCCAAGTATGCTGTGTCTTACGCTTGCTTTTGGGGTTTTCCCATTTGAATGCAAATATTTTCTGGCTGGCTTTATGGAGAGGGAGGAAAAAGAAGGCATCTTTTAGGTCTAAAACAGTAAACCAGGTTAGTTCAGGTGTCAATATGGTCAACAAGGTATAAGGGTTTGCCACTACTGGATAGAGATTTTCAGTTATTTTGTTAATAGCTCATAAGTCCTGGACCATTCAATTTGACTTGTTAGGTTTATGGACAGGTTATATGGGGCTATTGAAATCAGACTCACAGTCTTTTAAAAATTTCAGTTGTAAAAATTTTTCTGTTACTGGCTGAATTCTTTCCTTGTCTTCCCTTTTCAGGGGATACTGTTTGATTCTTACCGGCTGCTGTCCTTCTTTGAGTTTGATTTTGATCAAAACATTCTTTGCTCTTCTGGGCACATCAGTGGCCCATACCTTGGGGTATACCACGTTCGTGATTTCTTCATTCATTTTTTCTTCTGTAGGAACACTAGCTAGATATAAACTCATTATTTGTATATATCACTGATTTCTTACCTTCAGAGTAATTTCCCCTTTCCAAATTTAATTACTGCTTTTAATTGCTCTAGTAAATCTCATCTCAAAAGTGTTTTTGGGGAGTTGGGCACATATAGAAATTTGTGGACGCCTCATTGTTTTCCTAGTTTATATATCAGAGGTTCACAAAAATATGCCTTTTTACTTTGGCTAGTTGCACCTTTTACTGTGATATAGTAATTTCTCAGGGGCATCAAATCTTGGTTCAAATCAAGTATGTTGTTCCTGTGTTAACCAAAAATTCTACCTTCTTTTGTGTTTTTTTAGCTTCATTATAACTAGTGGATCCACTAGGGTGGATTCTTCAGGTCTCTGTCGGTCTTCTTCTACAGGAGCCACTATTCTTCTTCTCTGGTTCTCTTGATCTTTTGTTTTTTCTTGATATTAATTTTTTTAGTGTCCAAACTTTTTGCATAATGCACATTGGTCTTGCCTAGTCGAGATGGTTCCCATCTGGGTTTTCTTTTTCTCTCTTCCCTGGTGAGCGCTACCACTGTTCTTTGTCCCTGTTTGTACTTTTTTCCTCTGTTACTAATCACTCTCTATGCTTCATTTAGCAACACTTCCAGGGTTTTGCTTTCTGTAGGATGCAGCTTTTGAAGCTTGTGCCTAATATCTCCTTTAGACTGGCCCAGGAACAAAAAAACTAATTATTGTATTCTTACCTCTGATCTAGGGTCTAGCAGTGTATTGCTGTGCATCACATCCCTCAGGAATTCAGATGGTGACTCAGAGGGATCTTGTTTGATTGTGTGTAACGCTGATCAGTTTATTGTTTTGGGAATGGGCCTTTCCATTCCTTTTGACCCTTGGTATGTCTGTAATTCTTCCATATGTGCAGACATTTTGCATTCCATTTTGGCTCTTGGAGGGGGAGGTATTTTTCAATGTCTTCTCCCATGGTTTTCCAATTAATTTTAGCCAAATCTCTTGCAGTTTCTAGAATTAATTGTTTTTCTCTTTCAGTCATATATTCTAATAATAGCTGTATTTCTTTCTAATCAGGATTGTGTTGTTTTACTATAAACTTGAAGTGTTTGGGTATGGATCATTCCGGTAGTCCCTGGCAACTCTCTTCTATGCCTCTAAATTGGTGGTAGAAAAAGGTACCTTAATTAACATTGTTCCTCTCTCAGGTACTACCTTCCCAGAGAGGTGACTGCTGGAGCTGAGTTATTTCTGATGTGGAAAGACATAGGGTTTTCTCGGGGGTGAGGGTTTCATCTGAGTCTGCATCTTGTTCCTGTGATTGAGGGGGAGTCATAAACAAATCAGTTAAATCTTGTACTTGTGCCTGGTGAATTTTATCTGTTCTAGTGCACCACTGGCCAATACTGCATGCTGAACAACACCACTTCAGATTTTTTGTTATCATCCCTTTCAAGGGCGAGTACAAGAGGGACTTGTGGTGGCACAATCCCACAGTACCTCTGCCACTCTGGGTGGTTTTGGAGGGTAGAAATCATATATGCATATGACACTGCATCCCATTTTCTCTCCCTCCTTAGAAACAACATTAACTGCAAAGTAGTGTTATAATCAATTGTTCTATTAAGTGGCTATTTTGCCTTATCCTGTAATTTGTACAACAATCACCACAGGTTGCAATATTTAATGAAAGGTCTTTTATTTTCTGTAGCTTCTGAGCCAACTATATCTTTCCAATGAAATGCAGCTTAAAGGGCTTTTTAGTGGGACTTTTTTAGCCTGGCCTTTCCCCATTCCTTTTGTTTCCTTTGGGGTTTTTCTTGTTGCCCCTAGCTGTCACACAACTTTTTACACACTTTATTATTGTCTTATCTTAGTCCTCTTCCCAGCTATTCACATACACAGATACACATTTACTAATTTCAAAGCTAGCTTAATATGTTGTTGGTTGCAACCTGGATCCACAGTTTCCTGATGTTAAAACTGTTTATGGTACTGGATGCACCCATACAAAATGTTTTAAGTGCTTTGTCTGTCTGGTCATGCCCCTCACTGGGTCATGAAACTGCAGATTAGGACTCCCACTCACTTTGCAGTGATGCTGCATCTCAAACACACACACACAGACACAAAAACGTGAAACATTTTAAGAACTTCACATAAGATACCGGGGCATGTACAAATTAAACATCTAGTTTTTATTCCAGTAGTACCCCTCTAGCAGCTGCGAATATTAGCTAGGTACTCATTTGAAATGTTCTGCTTACCCTTCTTCTGCTTCTTGTACAATCATTAGCATGTCCATCTTGGCTCCCAGTGCTGGGATGCAGTGGTGACCTGGATTTACTCAATCTACTCTCAAGATTGCTAGCAGCTGCTCTTTGGTCAGCAAATTCCCACCACATACAGGGTACCCCCTTCCTGTGCAGAGACTGTACTGTACGCCAGACGCCTCTGGTCGTTTTACTGACGGCCCCAGCCAAGCATGGATATCCCCTATGACTTACTGGCCCTCTTTATTAAACATACTGTTTTGTCCCACAGCCACAGGGAATCGTTCTCTGCTCCTGCAGTGAGTGGCTGGAGAGAAGTTCCTCCGAGGAAGTGCTCAGGGTGTGCCTAGGATGTCTGCTCACAGCCGATCCCGTAGCCAAACAGAGACTCTCCTGCCTGGCTCACCAACTGACATGTGGAATCAAGGCTCCACAACCAGCAAGGCTGTAAAGTAGGTATGTTTTCAGTGCTGGATGCATGGGGGATTGCTCCACCACAAATGTGCGTGCTAAACAGAGCAGATGCTGTCTTTATATACACTTACGATCATACATACTTACGAAAGTTTCAACATCACCTATACGTATTCAAAACCTATGTCTGCCTCCTCTTGCTTCGTATGTTAACCAGCTCTTTCTCAGTCTGCACTTGTGCACTGTCTCCTGGTGGTCTTGGGCAGGGGTCGCTGGATGAAGTAAGTAGTCATCCTCACGATGTCCTCTGGATGAACCTGGTTCCTGCACAGGCTCTCTTGGTATCCAACCCTTCGTTAAGGCTTCAGTCCACAGTCTAAACTAAAGATCTAGTTTTTGGTAGTTTTTAGAGCACTAGTTCCTGCTTTATCAGTCTTAAACAGTAGGCCAGATCCTGTTGTTGCATAGCAAAAGATTATCTGTTCTTAACACTGTTCTTAACACACTTGATTACACAGCAAACTAGAGTTGCGTAGGCTTAGTTATAAGCCATAGATGCTAATTCTATTAGTGTTTGTCATGCTTATTTAACAAATAGATCCAGTTCCTCATTTATCTGCCTTAGTATCTATTGTTTATTGGTGATTTTTTTCCTGCCTTTAAACCCCTGGGTTGAGGTATTAAGACCACCCTCTGCTAGGTGGAGTATAAACACATAACAAAGTGCATTCCGTGTCTTGCATATTAACACTTTAATTTTATGGCTAAATGAGGGAGATTCCTCTTAACTGCCTTGTACTCAGACCTCAGAGACACTTAATTGCCACTTCAGCAGCATTTAGACAATAAACCTCCAGCTCAGGGAAAAAAAATAAATAAAACTAAGCACCACGGTTGCTTAAAAAATTCTTGTGTTTGTTGGAAGATGCAGGAGTTTAAGTTTATAAAGACCATCATCTGCATGCATAGGCAAAATTGTGATGCTTTCCTCTCATTCAAGCAGGTGGACTGATAAATGCTTGAAAATTGTGTGTCCCTCCTATTAGCCTCCTTGTTTGTTTGCCTTCTTTCCACAGCTTCTCCATTCACAGTGTTAAACAGGGGAAGAAAAGCACTTAAAAAATGAAAATAATATTGTGTAATCTGGTGAAGAAGGGTGTCCTGCTTCCCCCACAGATGGTCAAACTAGAAAGGTTCCTTTCTTGTCCTAAAGTCTGTTATGACAAGAAGAATGATAAAAGCACTGGAATTGCAACTGGAATTGCAACTGGAATTGCAACTTGCAAATAATTGCATTGCATTGCATTGCATTGCATTGCTGAGCACAAGCTCCTGTGTGTCCAGCACTCTGAACTCTTTTAAAGACTTGAGCCTGGGGTGCAATTTTTCTCCTTTTGCAGGAGGGGTTCAGAGGCAGAGCTTATGTATGTCAGGGCTGTAAACTAAGCTAGCATTTCTTAAGCATTCCTTGTTTTTCCTTTGGTTTTCCATGCAGGGACACAGAGGTACTTGGATAAACATGCAGACGTGGAGTTTACAGACTGAGCATGATAGCTGAGCCACTACTCTTAAATAAGTGGCCACTGCTCTGCTGGGTGTGCAGTGTGTCCTCCCTAGGGCCTGGTGTAACCTTTTTTGGGGAATTAAGTGGAATATGACTCCCAGAAGCACACATTATGTATTTAGATGATGTATTTCTTGTACTGATACACCTGGTGGAAAATGTGTATGAAGTCTGCCACTCTTTTCAGCCAGGAGAAGGCATGTCTGGCCAGATCCTGGATGGCCTCTCTGCAGTGATCCCAGCTGCTGGGAAGTGTGCATGCAGCTTTAAGCTCTGGGACATACCCTGTCAGGGTGTGACAGTGATAGCTCAGTTCTCTTCCTCAGGATCAAGATTAACGAGAGAGATTGCTTTTGTGTTAGGGCTCTGTTGTTTATTCTTCCTTATCTATATTACATATTTACAGACTGTGAGGAGCTATGTACAGTAGGCTAACTACAAAATGGAGAGATGAAGTATCTCTCCAAGGTCTTTTAAGTGTCAACCTGCCCAATAATGAAATGCCAAGTAACTTACTTTCACTTACAGCCCAATAATCAAACACCTGTGTCCTGCAATGCGGATTCTTCCATCTAACCACATAATATTACCCAAAAACCTTTGGAGAAGAAGATCAATAAGAAGAATGAGAAGAAAGAGCCACCACCCTAAATCCTCTGTCTTGTACTTCATTTACTAATATAGCTAAAACTCCAAACTCTACCTTTCTCACCCAGTGGCTTAACATAATTCTAACTTATACACTCCCATTCTCAGTTCCTCTGCTCAGTTTTGGGAGCTTTCTCCATGGTCTCAGGTTAAACTCAGTGTTCTCTTGAGTGTCTGAGCCTGTCAGCACAAATGAAGGGATATTTTCTGTGCCTCTGACTCCAGCAATACCCTTGGATGCTCCTTGCTTCCTGCTGGTATAGGAAATGCAGAGAATGCTGCACAGCATAGTGAAGGTCAATGGAATAGCTGCCACATTTATTTGGATTCCTGCTTGATCCACCTGAGCTTTGCAAAACCTGGTGAGATATATCTGGTAGAGCCTTGAAGAGCTCAGAATGGCTTTCTGTCCACAAGCCCTACTGAACAATATATACATAACTTGGGGCAGTGATCTGAACTTTGGGTATGACCCAACTCCTTATGGCATCCCATATAGTCTGGAGGCAGGCTGTGGTTTGGGATGGCCACAGTGATTATGAGACCTTATGGAGGGGCATGAGGGAGCTTAGGTATTCATTGCTACTGCTTTGGCTGGCTGCAGAGCTCTGCGCATACATTCAAAAATTCCAAATACAAGCAAATAAAAGCCTTTGCTTTGGTTGTCCCTTATTGGTGGTTTTGGGTTTTTTTTAAACTCCTGTATCTGCTATGATGCACAGTCTCCTGCCTGCCTTACGAGTGAGATAGCAGTGGAGCAGATTCTTTAGGCTGATCAAGAACAGGAGAGAAACAGTGGATTTAGTGGAATTTGAAGACAGTTCATACCACTGAGCAGCAGTATGCTGTGCTGGAATAAAGTGCAAGATGGTGCCCTTGGTCAGGATTTGCAAAGTCATAGGGGATATTTGAAGGTGTTTAAGAGAGACTTGCTTTGTTTATGCTTTAAAACACTTTTATTTTGCTGACTACAGCAAAGCCCTTATCTTCCTGCCTTGGTAACAGAAATCTTTAGGATATGGGAATGAGCTGCAGATCCTGCTCAGACCAATATTCCGTTTTGTTCTTAGCCAATTTGAGTTTCCTGGCCAATGCACCAAATAATGTGGTGGGTTTAGTGTGGCTAAAATCACCAGTGCACCTACTCATTTCTTGCTGTGAGATATGGATTAGGAGGAGAGAAAAACAGGCTCAAAACTTAAAAAGTAATCAGAAAACTTTATTAACAGAACTAAAAGAATAAGAAGCATCAGAATAAAACCTTCAGAACAGTTTTCCTCCCTGTGCTTGATTTCTTTCTTTCCCAACTGACAATGTAGAGGCAAAACCTGGGATTTTAAATCAGTTACCAACTCTACAATAGTCTTTCCTCAGCTCTTGTAGGGAGAGGAGCTTTCTCTTGCCATGCCATGAAGATTTCCCCCCAAGAAACAGTTCCCTCAGGGCTTTACATTTCCATGAACAGCAGCTGCCCAGGAAAAGATCTGCAATTGTGAAACTCCTCCCATTTTCACAGCCTCCTACAGCTGCATTCATGGGCCATGTCAACTTATGGGGTATTATTTTAAGTATGAGCTGTTCAAAACCAAAGGTTCTCTTCATCTGTTTCTGAGATCATCTTCATCTCTGGGAAGAGAGGTCTTGTTCTTCTCTCCCTGGGGGCAAAGGATCTTTATCACTTTGTTCAAGCTTCTCATGGGATCACAGTCTCTTCAGCGTCTGTTTTGTTTAATCATGGATACCTCTGCTCACATCTACGGTTTGAACACTCCAGCCCCCCATATTTCCTCTTGAATTAAAGGGGATATTTTAGTGTATTATAGTCCATCTCCATGGCCTTCCAGAAGAGCTTTCAGCCTCAATACTAAGCATTTCCTCATTCCTTCCATCTGAGCCTTGACACCTTCTTCACTGACTTGGCGTCTTCATGTTGTCTTACTGTGTGTCGTCACTCTCGGTGGCTGCCCTGGGGGATGGTGGTCAGGATCTCAGCAGCCAGGCCAGCACTCAGAGGCAGCACACCACAGATTGATGGCTTCCCCTCCCTCTGCCTGGCAGTTTCTGGCAAAACCCCGTGGCAGCAGAATTTCAGCCGAGCCGCAGGCTGGCCCAGCCTGGTGGCGCCGCTGGAAGGGGCTCGGCGAGCTCCCCGGGAAGGGCTCAGCCCCTCTGGGAAGGGACCCTGGCCACCCTGTTGGAACAGGGCCTGGAGGGCTTCCCAGGAGAGCCCAGCCCCATCAGGCTGCATGGGCTGAGCAGTTACCTGTTCAAGGCTGGAAGCCAAGAGAGAGCTTTCCTGGGCTTGTCTGTTTGTAAAATATGGCTCTCACAGAGGCGGATCCAACTTCTAAATGGTTCAATCAGTTGTCCGTTCTCAGAACCAGACATGTATTGGGTTTTTCCAGGCACAGAGGAAGCTCTCAGCAGCTTGTGTCCAAAAAATAATTTCTGTGGGTGGTTTCTTCCTTCTTACTAAATATCAATTAATGCAAAACCAACACAGATGGTTTTGGCTTACTGTGAGGAAGTTAAAGGATTGTGGCTTTTTGGGTGGTGACAGAGATGTCTGGGAATAGTGACTCCAGCCCCAGTGCAAACAGATCTCAGTGTCAAAGTCTTGCATTGTAGCTGCTGGGGGGTGCGGTGGACTGGAGCTTGCACTTCTGCAGACTTAGGTGAATTCTGGAGAAGTGCTTGGGTAGGAAATCAGTGAGTGTGGAGAAGCTGAGTGATGCTTGTGCATTTAGAATAGCCGAAGGTGTCGATTATTTAGTACTGAGCTTCTAGATCCAGCAGCACCATGTGCCCTCTTCCTTGAATCTTTTCCATG